TGTTTTCGTTGTGCATTGTTATCCGCAAACTGCATGTGGGCAGAACAAGATTATATAAAAGAAGCTAACTTCGTCAGTCTTGTTCAGTTCACTTCATCTTGCTGTTGAATTAACGTTAAGAAGACCAAACCAGGTATGATGATAATTTGTCATTTCATTGCAATTTTTAATGTAAATTATAGAGCTTTCCGTTTTTCAGGTTAATTTCCCGGCGTTTTTTTGCTACATCTCCTGTTGTTGGACCGAGATATCTGGGCCGAAATTAAAACAGATTTATTTTATAAACATGAGTGTTGTTTAGAGTTTTTGGCCACTGAGAAAAAATCGTATTTAAACACACGTAAAAATACGATATTTTTACGTGTGAAAATATCATTTGTTGTAAGACGCATTGCCACGGAAGTTTTATTGTTTTTCACTGAATTTTGTTTATATAATAAACAGAAAAATACATGGGTGCTTGGAAATACCAGATTTATTTCGAGTGTTGAACATGATATCTCACGAGTGAGCGCAGCGAACGAGTGAGATATCATGTTCAACATGAGAAATAAATCTGGTATTTCCAAGCACCCATGTATTATTCTCTATATAATATACCGTTTATTTTCTAGTTTGATTGCAATATTTTGTAATATGTTCAAACTCCTATTAACTCGGATTTTCTCTTGTTTTTGTTGATGCAATTCTATTTTCGTCTTAATTTAAATCCAGCTGTAACCTTTACTTGATCTTGGATTTAGTTCTCATCTTTTTGTATCTGCGAAGCAGATATATTGCTATCGCAAACGTGCCGTACCGTACCTAACCTGAAGTTCAGGCCCTAATCACAGAATAGGGCCTGACACAAAACCTATCTAAACTGTGGGGTTCCCGTCCATCTGGTGGACGGGAAATCTGATTGGTTGATCAGCATCATGAAAGATTTTGATTGGTTGCAAGTTCACATAAACAACAGTTTTAAAAATAGCTCGGTCAAGGCGACAATTAATATGAAGGTCAAACGCACGTAACAAATTCCATTATCGATTTCTTTGAATTTCTTTTCTTTTATGCTTTATGGCAGAAAATAAATCAAACAAACAGTATTCTGAAAGGGCTTTATCAAAATCTTTGATGAATTTTGGACACACGACGCTGAAAGAACAGCCAAACTAGTCATATATTCGAAAGCTTGTTGTTGACAGCCAAGATGTTCTGCCAACTGGCTTCGTCGGCAAAAATCTTATTTTTAATATCAGGTCCTACCGGCGTTGTTTTCTGAGCTACATCGCCTTCTTTGTGGTACGATTGAAAATTTCATTGTTGCTGTTGTTAGCCCGTTAGAGTATATCCGCGTCCAGCAAGTTGAGACCTTGAGAAAGCTTGGCAGTCAAGCCGTGTACAGAACTGACTAGTTAAATCTTTGTTCGGTTAAATATAGAGAAACTGACTCTTAATTATATAAAAGTACCTTGAATTTGTAAGTTTAATTAAAAAGCAAAATGTACACCGACTCTGCGGACATGTTCATGAGAATATAACTTTTTTGCCAGTGTAACGAAATCTACAACACTTGTCAATCATATTGCATGCTGTGTCTAAAAATAACATCTGGGCGTCCCACTGTCTAGACAGGTTTTGCGTCAGGCCCTATTTAAAATTAGGGCCTGAACTTCAGGTTATACCGTACGTACCGTATCCCTAGCCATTCAGCGACGAGCTTATATAATTTAAGCCAATTTAAGCCAATCAGCGATTCGTTTACATCAATTGTTTACATCGTGCCCGCATCTAACCAGCGAACGGGCATACTTTAGCCTCGTCAAGCCTCGTGTATAAATCGTGTTATTGTTTCAAAAATATCTTGATATTTTTATCAATTTATATTGAATTGGCTGTCTTTTTTTATTCCGAAGTTTATATTTATCAACATGGAATCTTATCCTCATCTGGTAAGTAGTCAAATACCACATATTATATATTTAAATACCAAATTTGTGCGAATATATGTCGCACATATTTTATAATACATGAGTTCGCCAGTTCAGCAAATATTTACTATACTATATCTACAGTTAATATTGCCGTATCTTCGGCGTAGAGTTTACATGGAATGCACTCTGGAATTTTTTTATTAATATATTACACTGTTAAAATATTGGATATTTTCGAGGATATTTTAAGCCATTTGTCAACATAGTTCACAAAAAGATTTATACAGTATTAAAAGCTTCTGTGACTTCTGTAATATTTTAAACAGTGATAACATTCTCAGGAGATATTGAATTAAATCCTGGTCCTGTATTTCTGTATATTGACTCCATAACTCTGTTCAAAACAACAGTCTAACTATAAAGCTGTCATCAAATGTAGTGTTAGAGCAAAGGTTGAAGATTTTATCAGTTAAAATACTTATACATTTTGGTTTTACACATTAGAGTTAATTTTAATAAACAAAATTTTTACAAACATTTTCAAATAAAAGAATCCTCACCCTCCCGAGCCTCATTAAGCCTGGTTCACATATGCCTGCGGCATGCCTGCGACTGTATCTTTATGCCTCAACTTGCCGCCGAAATAGCGGGAAAGTCGAACTCAAGTCAACTTTCCCGGCCTACCGCCGATGTAACTGAGGCACTGGAGGCAATCGGCGAACAAATATTCACATAATTCACGTTTTTAGCTACCACCGGCATCGTCGCCGGTACGTCGCAGGCATATATGTGAACCAGGCTTTACATTGTCATTTTGCTTTCTAACATAAATATTTTTCTTTAGAGATTAATACAAGAATGAAGAATAAATGTACTGGATATTGGCTGGATAATAAATTGTGAGAACAACAAACTTGCAAGACAATCTTACCTAAATTCATTAGTATGGAAAATAATTCAACAGCTACAATGAGTAGTCATATATTATATGGTGGATTTGATCAATGGCACACAATGTACAAAACTAAACTTGTGATACCTTCTACTCAAACCGATAATCTCCCACAACACGATTGTTTTTGTGTGAATGTGCTGTATGTGTTAAACCGAACAGTGTGGTATATCATTAACTGTGCACAGAACTGGAATTTAATTATATACCTCACACAAAAACATTCTCAATTATTCAGTGGTCTTCGACATGTTCACCAAATATTTTGTGTATGTTACTCAACAGTTAACATTGGCAAGTGTAAACAACAAGTGACATAACTTTTGCTTCATATGATTACAATAAAGTTTTGAAAATTTGATGAGTATGAATTGAATTGACAGGTGGCAGTTTACTAAATAGCTGGCTGTATAGACACTTTGAATATTGTTTGCATGAAATTTTTATTTCCTGACTGCATAATTATTTGTTACAACATGATCACATTATAAAGTTAGTTAAATTTTCTCGGTGCGGGGGTGGGCAGCACTTGCCCTGCTGCACTCCCCGCTGTGTACAGCCCTGTTTTAAATCTTATCTGCCATTATAATAAGTGATGAAATATTTCAATTGTCCCCAACCTCGTTCCCAGGGCTTCAGTGTGAGGACGAGGCGAGACACGAGGAAGCCCTGGTCCGGGCCGGTCAATTTTGCATTCTGATTGGCTAACACCATATTGTCTAAAAATAACTGAACTTGACAGTTAGAATAACAATTCAACATTTGTATTTTTATGATTCTTGTGTGTACGAGTATGAGTTGCAAAATAATCTTTCAAAGTAAGACGTTTTCTTTCAGATCAGTGCGTTTTCCCGACTGCATGATTTACTTTCGCCTTGGCCGGTTACTAAACTGAAATGCCGTGTCGAAGTGAGCTGTGATGTTTCCTGGCAAAACAAGAAACGTCTACTATTATTTAAGCTGTAGCTTTCCTTGTACAGTATTTATTAGTGGAGATGTCTGATGAAATACTGCGCGTATTGCATTGTAGTAATATTTTAATTTACAATATTCTGTACTGACAAATAAAAGCAAGACAAACAATTAAATGAAGCTACTAAATTAATTTAGGCCCTGTTTACTTAATAGCTCTACGCCTAGGCCGATGTAGTCTCTACAAGATTCGCACGCCACCCAGTTTTTCAGTTTCAGAATACCCCCGAATACTTGAAAATTGCGACTATACGATAAAATAAAACAAAGATTGTGAAGGGGATAAAATTTGTAGGCAAGCATTCGGCTCAGCTCCTGAACGGCAAGTGTTGGTGTCCGACGAAACAAGCGAATCCGTATACTCCTGTACAGCGTAAACAGCTTATTAATATTTATACAACCATGAAAGAAATACAGAAAATATCTATGGATCGAGCCAAATTGTTCGAATGGATTGCAAATAAAATACTTGAGTGCAAAATTGGCCTTCTCCAGCAACAAATGTGTATTAGGCAGGTTGCAATGGCTGAAATGTATACCCATTACAGTATTAAAAGACCAAAGACAGGGGTGTGCAAATAGAATCATTAAGAAATAGGTAAATATGATTTGTAAAATTCACGAGTACTGCCTTTAGTTTAGGAATACCGTTCATATTAAAAATATATTTGTTTCTTTACTGTTTTTTGAAGGTTAATTAAAATGCTGTCAAACTGAGCACTTTGATTTTGAAAATTAAACTGAGCACTTTGATTTTGAAGGAATATGTCACAGTGCACAGCACCCATACATTTTTATTTCATGGGGAAATATGTACTTGCTTTCATTTCACTAATAGTACTAATTCATATGATTTGAATTGTACTAATTGTATACTGTTAATTATTAAAATCTAAATCATCTATGGGTCCCAAAATACAATACAACAGTAACTCTGAATAAAGTAAGCATTTTTATTCATCGTTTCGACTTTATTTAATCATCATCAGGAATGATTATATTACATATGCCGAGACATATGCAGGCGTTGTATATACTCTATGTAATTTGATAGTAATAAAAGAAAACTAATAGTTCTCTTGGTGCTTTAGTGCCATGATTAAGTTCCGGGTTTTTGTCTATGAATGGCGAGTGCTTCTTTGAACAGCAGATTTGACCAGTGCTTACCCCTATCTGCTGTTCAAATAACTCGCCATTCATAGACAAAAACCGGAACTTAATCATGACACTAAAGCATCAAGAACTTCAAGAGAACTATCGGTTTTCTTTTAATACTATCAAATTACATACTTAGAGTATATATAACGCTTGCATATGCAATACAATCATTCCTGATGATGACTAAATAAAGTCGAAACGTTGAATAAAAATGCTTACTTTATTTGGAGTTAGCGTTGTATTGTATTTTATGAAAATACTCGGTGGTTCCCGCAACTATGTGCCCCCTTGAAGATAATTTTGTTAGTGAACTGGTCAGAGTCTAATGAGGTTTCTTTTGAGCAGACTAAACTTAACCAATGCCAATAAGACATGTCCTCGACTTTGCCTAAAGTCGCCTAAAATCTCCCAAAGTCGCCTAAAATCGCCCAAAGTCGCCTAAAATCGCCCAAAATTGCCACTCGATTTCGTGGCATTTTCCTAAAGTCGCCTTAAGTCGCTTGAAGTCGCCCAAAATTACGGCGACTTTAGGTCCCAGAGTAGGCCTATGTAATATTTCGGCAAATCCGACTATGAGGACTGGACTAGAATTCAAGTCCGCGCAATTTGATCGAGGCGAAGCCGAGGATCAAAATGCCAGTTCTCATAGTCGGATTTGAAATATTATAATGCACCTAACAATGTTAAGCCCCAGAGGGGCGGGGGGGGGTCGGGCATAAGTGGGGCATTTGATTTTCTGAGCAAATTTTCAATCAAATGCCCCACCGTCGGGCAATAAATATTGGTCAAATGCCCCACTATTTTGCAATAAATTGCAATAAATACTATATTAATAAAGGTTAATTGGTTCAAATTGCCCCAACTTGGGGCCAAAATGCTGATCAAAATCCCCAGGGTGGGGATGCAATTGATGATCAAATACCCCACATATGCCCGACCCCCCCCCCCCCTCTGGGGCTTAACATTGATAGGTGCATAATATCTCGTACGAATAAATTACCCCTTAAAGTGAGGTGAATTAATAATGATTCAGTCCTAGGATTGGATCAATATACTTCACCAGGTATCTAGTATTATCATGTGAGCAAAACAAAGCAATATGTTGGCTAATTTACTTATGAATTATTAATGAGTTTGAGATAGATAATATTTACCACAGGACCGTTGCGAGGACTTTGCCTTTGGTTTAGTGAATTTTTCCAACTTCACGTTTTTACCTGATTTTGCGACGCATGCATGCCGAGAACATTTCAGTCGCTAATTCATATTATCCCCCAAAATTGTTGGCGAGGGGGGGGGGTTCAAAATATTTTTCCAGATATACAATAAATTTTCCGAAGATATTTTAATTTTCGCAAACATACAAAAAATTTTCCGGACATATCATAAATTTTAGGAAAATACAAAATTTTTTCTGGAGATATCATCATTTTTACGAAAATCAGATCAAAAATTTTTACGCGGATATAGTTATTTTTGCCCATTCATTTCCTTATGCTCTGAGACTTACCTAAATTTACCTAAAAATCTTCTGGAAAATTACCTGAATTTACCTAAAAATCTACTTGAAATCTACCTGAAATTGCTCATGAGCAATTATTAGGGGGAGTGTTGCACCCCCCACACCCCCCGGTCGCTACGATCCTGTTTTACCAGCATGTGAAGCGCACTGATCTGAAATAAGACTGGATAACGCATCTATAGTATACAAAAGTGACACCGGAAGTCACCAGCCGCCACCCGATTCTGGCGCCCCACTTTTGTATAGATTTGTATTACAGACGGTAGTTTTTCGCGTTTTTTGCCTTGGCTACGTTTCCGATCGGGCCAATTTTACAATCACAACGATAGAAGCATACAAGAAGAATTTTGAGCAAAAAAATTGGAGTATTATGGCTTTATAACGCCGCGAAACGGGATTTACAACTCTGAAGGAGTGGATCGAGAGCCTCAGACTTTGTTTAATATCAACACGAGCTCGTTTTGCTACTTTCATACAAAATCAACTCAGATTATAAAAATATACAAGAATTATTTTTACTGGACGAATATTCTCACGAAATTTGAAGAAATGAAGCAGCTATATTGTGAACGAAAGCGTACAGAGGTTAGATTTTGTTTATCAACACGAGCTCGTTGCTACTTTCATACAAAATCAACTTAAAATATACAAATAATTACTGTTTACTGGACGAATATTCTCAGGAAACTTGAAGAAATGAAGCAGCTACATTGTGAACGAAAGCGTACTGAGGTTAGTTTTAAAATACCTTGAGGCTACTTTTATAATTATGCGAATTTAATAAGGAAAGTTTTAAATGTCAATTTTGTGAAAAGCATTCCTAGGCGACTTGTCGAGAAGTTTTATATGTTTTAAAGTAGGAAGACAAGTGACAATGAAATATTTTTAATCCAAATTATAAACGACTCAATATGTATAGGTTATTTTGAGGCAACGAGGGGATATGTGATTTATTCACCGAGGCGCGCAGCGCCGAGGTGAATAAACACATATCCCCGAGGTACCTCAAAATAACGTACTTATTTTTCACATTGCGAAGTCGCGTTAAAGAGTCAGAATAGAAATAATTCTCAATGCCATATTGCCTTCGTTATGTTGTTTTTTTCTCATTTCTTGTGCTGCAAAGACATTGCAGGTGAATATTAGAGGGGATTATTAATTGCAGGTGAATATTAGAGGGCTTATTAAACGGAAATTGATTAGAGGTGAATATTGAATATATTTCCCGATAAGAACAAAGGAAACCGAGCAGGGTGAAAAATAAGTTATTTTAATTCATATAATTATGGAAGTAGCCTCAAGGTATTTTAAAACTAACCTCTGTACGCTTTCGTTTACAATGGAGCTGCTTCATTTCTTCAAATTTCGTGAGAATATTCGTCCAGTAACAATAATTCTTGTATATTTTGAGTTGATTTTGTATGAAAGTAGCAAAACGAGCTCGTGTTGATAAACAAAGTCTGAGGCTCTCCACTCCTTCAGAGTTGTAAATCCCGTTTCGCGGCGTTATAAAGCCAAAATACTCGAAAATACTACTAAATGACTTTTTGCTCAAAATTCTTCTTGTATGCTTTTATCGTTGTGATTGTAAAATTGGCTCGATCGGAAACGTAGCCAAGGCAAAAAACGCGAAAAACTACCGTCTGTAATACAAATCTATACAAAAGTGGGGCCCCAGAATCGGGTGGCGGTCGGTGACTTCCGGCTTCACTTTTGTATACTATAGATGCGTTATCCAGTCTTATTTCAGATCAGTGGTGAAGCGTCATAGATTTGCATATTAAACAACCTAAAATGTCTCAAGAACGAAAAAGATAAAGAAAAGTTGTGAAATGACTTATTTTAACGAGTTCTTTCTGTATGAACAGACTTGAATTTCATTGCCTATAACCCAAAAAATCAGTCTATATACAAAAATGCTGTCCATTGAATTTTTACAATGTGTATCATATTAATCACGAAGTTCTCTTGCGAGATATTAAAAAAAACGTTTGCCTGTCAGAAAACGTATACACAAGGCGAACGTTTTCTTTTGAAGCAAGAAATACTGTAAACACCCACAGTTTAGTTCACAATCTAGGCAAAATAATCGCACATTAATGTACCGCTTTCCAACAAATAAACATAGATATGGGCACAACATAATATTTCCCATAACTTAACCTTCATGGATTATTTATGAATTTTGCGAAAACATGTGATCTTTGCATTTGTGGTTTGGCTATGCATGGGTGTTAAAATGTCTCACTGTCTGCGTTCACCGCCCCCATGTTCCACTAGCCTCCGCGTAAACATTTCATTATTTACAAAAAATTCATTATTTACACAAAAAATCTCTCCATAAAAGTGATCCAGGTTGCAAATTACTAAACATGGCCTTTGCGAAACCGTTGCCAATAAATGACATGGGAAACTCCTATCTATTTTGCGGTCACACGAATTTCGTCATGAGCTCTTGCGTCATTTTCACGCACCATGCAGAGTGTATTACATTTTCAGATATAAAAGCATAGGACGAACGCGTTCGAAAGGTTAAAAATTATTTTTTAAAGGAATTAGCACTCCTTATCCTCGTTTTCAGACACAAATTATTGATAGTAACAATAATGGTCGTTTTGGTTGTTTATTTAAAAAGTACAATTGAGCTCTTTGGCAGCTTTTTATTTATTCTTTAAAGTGTGATAAGATGACTTGTGTTCAGCCTCTGAGAATAATGCTGACATCAGCAATAAGATGTTTCCGAACTACTTTAATTGTATCGACTCAAAATATTCGATGAACTCTCGTAGTAAGGATGTACGGAACCTATTAAACAGCCAGCATTATCCCTTAATTATACAATTTTGTGACGTCACCTATATAATCAATCTTGTAATCAATAGTGGCTGCAAAGGTCCTAGTGATTTTAGACTTTGTTCACACTAGCGAGTTAGATCGTTCTCAGACCGATCCATGGCAAAGCGATTTCAATGTGAATGCAAGAATGCGAACTGAGATCGATCTAAACGAGAATCTACTAATTTGCTGCCCAAAAATTCTAGCCTGAATACCAGGTATATCATGTTTTCCCGCTTTACGCTATAAGGGAGAATCGGGCAGAAGGGGGTGCGCGCTGACTTTCAGGTTACATCAATGTTTATATACTAAAACATTTGTATCTTTCAGATGAAGACGTCAGGAATGAAAATCTTGATAGCTGTTGTAATGACAGTGGTTGTTTTGGCAACAAGCGCGTCATCAACGAAGGACGTACGGGATATATGCAACTACAACATCGGGGGTGCAAAATGCAGTGCCTGTTGCGGACGAGCGCTTGCACATTGCAAACTATATTGTATCAATTTGGGTTGTGACCCGAATCAAAAGGGTGTATGCGATGTCAAAAACAGCAACAAGTATTTCATGTACTCATTCAGGGCAAGAGGTTGCCCAACATGCATGAATGACAGGCGACGTACTTTGGAAAGTGATGACCCTTCAGCTGTTGTCAATTCGCATGGTTTGACAGCTGTGTAAAGCGTGGTTTGCAAAATTGCCAAGGACCCGAATGCAATCCTTCTGCTGTGATACAACGAACATGTGGAAAGGGATGCCTTTAAGGGATCCGAAATTATTCAAGACATTAGATAGATAATTATATATGTATTATTTTCTTTATTAATTGATGAACAGTAACATATTATAATAAGTTCATTGTTTGTTGAAATTGAAATTGAAATAAAAAGCATTGCAAAATCACAAGCCTTACTTTGTACTTTGAGACTATGCTTATGATCAACGACATACGTCAGTGAACTAATTCCAAACTTAACCTGCAAACAAATTCGCCTAGTGGAAAACGGGCTTTACGCCTCTGTAGCGATTCTACTGACCAGTGCCGTCTAAAGCAAATTGTTATTATTGGGGGGGGGGGAGAAGCTCAACCAAGGGGGTTGAGGGCATGCTCCTCCAGAAAAACCTTGCGTTTCCGAAGCCTCGGAAGAGCATTTATTCTGTGTTTTCCGAGAAGAATGTTTATCAATGAATTTCTTGCATTTAAATACTCAAGATTTTGTAATTCACGTTATAACTTTTTACAACTTCATCCGCCCAGTTTTGAAACAACGTTTGCCATGATGCAATCGCAAACATCAATGAATTAGCCTTTCTCAGACCTTCTCACGATGACGAATATCCACCATTTTTGGGTGGCATCCAATTCTCGTTAACCAATGCGGGCAATTAAAACGACGTGAAAAGCAATTTTTCAAAATAAACTAACCATTTACAAAGCAAATTTATCATCATTCGTCCAAAAAATTATAAAAAGTCGCTGTTATGTGGACTTTTCTCGCAGACTTCGGCTGATCGAAATGCCACCCAAAATTGGCGGCGTGAGAAAGTCTAATTGGTTTTGTTCCTATTGATATATGATGTCAGATTGTCGAGGGAATGCTGTATAAAAACTGTGTTTGTGTCGGTTTGTGGTAATCTTCAACACGAATGACAAAACATAAGATTTTAAAGTTTTTTGCTTCCTTACTCGAAGGGAAAGGTTAGTTCGCTGACCTCAGAATGACATTTCGTCAAAACTTTTTTCTTCATGATTGGTTTAGAAACAAACTTGGAGTAGGGTTAGGTTAGGGTTAGAGTATTTGGAATAGGGTTAGTATTAGTAAAACCGTTCCTTTGTTACCTTGTGTCACTCTGAGGCCAGCTAAATAACTCCTTCCTTAATTACTTGCCAATTACGCGTATAGGATTCGTTACTCTATGAGTCTATACTTTTATTAACTATTATACATACACTATCCTCAGCAAGAATATCACTTAACTAAAATTATTAAATTTTTTACTCAAAGCTTCATCGCATTGAGCATCATTGGCATTGCCGCATCTCGGAATATACTATTATAATCACAGTTTACGCCGCATGTTTTGGTCGCTATGATCCCTATACGAACACCAGTGTCCCCTCACACCGCGTTTATCCCATGAATACGCCATTTTGGCAGCAGTTCGCGATTTCAGATCACAGTTCGCGATTTCTTTGAAAGGGGAATTGCTGACGAGTGCATGATGCCCCAATAGATGATGTTATTGAACCAGAAACTTTATACGAGTGTATTGTGGCCACAGTTGTTGATTTTGTTGAAAGATGAACTGCAGACGAAGGTATTATGGCATCAGTTGATGATTTCTTTGAAAGATGAACTGCAGACGAGGGTATTGTAGCCACAGTTGTTGATTTCTTTGAGAATGGAAATGTAGACCAGGGTATTGTGGCCACAGTTGATGATTTCTTTGTAGAAGGAACTGCAGACGAGGGTATTTTTGCCACAGTTGATTTCTTTGAATGAGTTACTGCGGACGAGGGTTATGTGACCACACTGGAGAACGTCGTTGAAAGATAAAGTATGGACGAAGGTACTATGGACACAGTAAACGACGTTATTGAACGATGAAATCCAATCGAGGGTATTCTGACAAAACTGAATGAGGTCATTGAATGAGGTACCGCAGACGACGGTATTATGGATGACGTTATTGAGAGATAAACTCCAGAGGAGGGTATTGCGGCAACACTGGATGACGTCATTGAAGGCAGAACTGCAGACGAAGGTATTGTTGCCAAACTGGTTGACGTCATTGAAGAAGGAACTGTGGGCAAAGTTCGCGATTTCTTTAAAAGGGGAACTGCTGACGAGTGTATGATGCCCACACTAGATGATGCTATTAAACCAGGAACATTATACGGGGGTATTGTGGCCACCGTTGATGATTTACTTGAAAGATGAACTGTAGTAGTGTATATATAATATCATATAAAAAGAAGAGGGGGTGTGGGAACCTGTTTTTGATAACTGGGAATAGTATTACGCGGCGGTGCCAAAAAGGGCGTGGTTGGGCGTGGTCATGGCTCTACGGACGGGGGTGTTTGGGAGGTCACGTGGTTTGCTGGAATGTTGTGTTTAATTTATTCATATATGCGGGTGGGGGTGTGGGCGTTCTGACGAGAACGGTTTTTGCAAGTGGGGGAATGGGGCGAGATGTTCTCCCTAAGCCTTGGTTGACCGAACTGAAGGGAATTCGAACGTTCGCGGGCTTTTATCGGCGTGGTTTCGGGCTTGTCGGGTGTTTGCGGGTATAAAATTATGGAAATTATTGGTTTTTTGTATCGTTTATTAATATAGCATATAATATATTTACAAGATTCTTTTTTCTATTTTTTTGTTTTTACGTTCTCTTAGTGCTTCGGTTGAAAGTTTTTCGAGATGATATAGCTTTTCTAGCTCTTCTTTTTTGTTTTTTATTGTTTCTAAAGCTTTTTCTCGTTGTTCGGCAATGTACAGATACATGTTGTAATGTTTTATATAATACGTCTCTAGGGTTTCGTTGCATGTGCTTAGTATCGATTTTCGTTTTTTTCAGTACCATCTAGGCATAGTAGAACGATATCTTGCGATGTTATACGTTCTTCATCGGAATTGTCATCGGCAATTCGTGTTAGGTGTATGTGTTTATTGGGTCTACCCGGAGGGCGTTTTCCAGCTATGCGTTTTTGACCCTGTAGACTTTCCTTGAGATTTGCTATGTCTTTTCCAAATCGTACGCCGATAGGGGCGGGTTTTTCAGGTGATGGTGGTGATTGTGATGACGTGGGTGATGCAAGTGGGTTAGGTGTGGGTAATGGTGGTGTGGGTTGTATTGGTTGCTTGTCGATAGTTGCCGTATTTCCTGTTTCTAGAATTTTAGTTGTCGTCGTCGATGAATCGTTGAGTAAATATTCTTCGTTCGCCGTTGGGTTTATAATATTGAGTAGATCATTGGGATAGTAGTTTGTTGGTGGATAACTGGCGAAGTGGTTAATATCGGGAAAATTTGGCTGCATTAGATTCATTTTAGGTACTTGTAACCACTTGATGTATGCTTTATCGAATGATGTATAATTTGGGTTGTTTAGTCTGAAGAACTGAAAGTCTGTGAATTGTTGAATGTGAAAAAATCGATTTGGATCGTTGTCTTGAATTCCTTGATAATTTAAGAACAGCTGTAGGTCTTGTTGTTGCTGTGTCGAACCCATTTTGGTGAATAAATTGACCGAAAATTTAAGTGTCTGTTTATTCGATGTGTGTGGTGAAATGAAGTCGATTACCTTTTATGGACATGTAGATTTATTTTTATGCTTGTGTAGGGACGCTAAGGGATTACCCTTTGGGAATATATTTGTTATAATAATGATTTACATGTTTATTTTAGTTATGAAAGAATTATTGACAAGATTACGACTTTTGACCCGTCATGCGTTACGAAAAATTACACAGGAGCCTAGAGAATTTTTGTTATCTTTCTTGCTTGTATTATTGTTTCTGTTATTTGTGCAATATTGGTTGAAATGCACCGATGAATGTTTGGACGTGGTTGTGGAAATTGCTCGTCAGCTAGGAACAACGATGGAAGGTAATGCTGATTTTGTTATATGTTCGACAATATTGAAATTTATACGTGCACTGGAGGGTTTGCAATACGAGTCTGCATTAACAAAGTTATTGCATAGAACATTAGTACCGAATAGAATGGTGTTGGGATCAAGTTTATCTTGGTATTGCAATGATTTGTATTTTACGAGTATAAAATATACATTGACGGGTAAAGTGCGTCGTAAAGTGTACGGTATTAATACTTATGATGTGGCAATGGTTGATATAACTGTGCGTACAACATATCGAAAGAGATTAAGTGTACCCGTAACGTTTATAACAAGAAATGTGCTTTTTGAAGATTTAACGCTTTGTGAATTGTTAAATGACGTACTTCTTGAAACATTATATGATGGTTCTAAGAATATATGGGATATTATTAGAATGGTTGCAAATCAATCAAAAGTTTTTATAAGTTTTACATTACTAGAGGATATTTTGGCTGATATACGACGGTAAATTTGTTTAATTTTTTAGACTCGGGTTTTGAAGAATATTAAAGATGACTACTGACCATGTAGATATTAAAGATGGACGAGTACCGTGTGTTGTACCTGAACAAAGTAGAAAAAGAGATGAATACGAAGATTGTTGTGAAGTGGAACGTAGATGGTTGTCCAATACAGCAGCATTTCACGACTCGTTACAACTTGTAAGGAATATTTTATAAGTCGTGAAGGACTTAAGACTCCACCCAGCCAAGTGGTGAACTTCACGAAATTCGTACGACTCGTTAAATCCGTGAAATTTCACGACTCGTTACAACTTGTAAGGAATATTTCACGAGTCGTGAAGGACTTAAGAGTGCACCCAGCCAAGTGGTGAACTTCACGAAATTCGTACGACTCGTTAAATCCGTGAAATTTTACTACTCGTTACAACTTGTAAGGAATATTTTACGAGTCGTGAAGGACTTAAGACTCCACCCAGCCAAGTGGTGAACTTCACGAAATTCGTACGATTCGTTAAATCCGTGAAATTTCACGACTCGTTACAACTTGTAAGGAATATTTCACGAGTCGTGAAGGACTTAAGAGTGCACCCAGCCAAGTGGTGAACTTCACGAAATTCGTACGACTCGTTAAATCCGTGAAATTTTACGACTCGTGACAACTTGTAAAGAATGTTTCACGAGTCGTGAATGAGTTAAGTGTGCACCAGCCAAGTGGTGAACCTGACGAAATTCGTACGACTCGTTAAAGCCGTGAAATTTCACGACTCGTGACAACTTGTAAAGAATGTTTCACGACTGGTGAAGAACTTAAGAGTGCACCAGCCAAGTGGTGAACCTGACGAAATTCGTACGACTCGTTAAATCCGTGAAATTTCACGACTCGTTACAACTTGTAAGGAATGTTTCACGAGTGGTGAAGGACTTAAGAGTACACCCAGCCATGCCAAGTGGTGAACTTCACGAAATTCGTACGACTCGTTAAATCCGTGAAATTTCGCGACTGGTTACAACTTGTAATGAATGTTTCACGAGTGGTGCAGGACTTAAGAGTGCAGGAGCCAAGTGGTGAACTTCACGAAATTCGTACGACTCGTTAAATCCGTGAAATTTCGCGACTCGTTACAACTTGTAATGAAAGTTTCACGAGTCGTGAAGGACTTAAGAGTACACCCAGCCAAGTGGTGAACTTCACGAAATTCCTACGACTCGTTAAATCCGTAAAATTTCACGACTGGTTACAACTTGTAATGAATGCTTCACGAGTGGTGAAGGACTTAAGAGTGCAGGAGCCAAGTGGTGAACTTCACGAAATTCGTACGACTCGTTAAATCTGTGAAATTTCACGACTCGTTACAACTTGTAAGGAATATTTCACGAGTCGTGAAGGACTTAAAAGTGCAGGAGCCAAGCGATGAACGTCACGAAATTCGTACGACTCGTTCAATCCGTGAAATTTTACGACTCGTGACAACTTGTAAAGAATGTTTCACGAGTCGTGAATGAGTTAAGTGTGCACCAGCCAAGTGGTGAACCTGACGAAATTTGTACGACTCGTTAAATCCGTAAAATTTCACGACTGGTTACAACTTGTAATGAATGTTTCACGAGTGGTGAAGGACTTAAGAGTGCAGGAGCCAAGTGGTGAACTTAACGAAATTCGTACGACTCGTTAAATCCGTGAAATTTCGCGACTCGTTACAACTTGTAATGAATGTTTCACGAGTCGTGAAGGACTTAAGACTGCACCCAGCCAAGTGGTGAACTTCACGAAATTCGTACGACTCGTTAAATCCGTGAAATTTCACGACTCGTTACAACTTGTAAGGAATGTTTCACGAGTCGTGAAGGACTTAAGAGTGCACCCAGCCAAGTGGTGAACTTCACGAAATTCGTACGACTCGTTAAATCCGTGAAATTTCACGACTCGTTACAACTTGTAAGGAATGTTTCACGAGTCGTGAAGGACTTAAGAGTGCACCAAGCCAAGTGGTGAACCTCACGAAATTCGTACGACTCGTTAAATCCGTGAAATATCACGACTCGTTACAACTTGTAAGGAATGTTTCACGAGTGGTGAAGGACTTAAGAGTGCAGGAGCCAAGTGGTGAACTTCACGAAATTCGTACGACTCGTTAAATCCGTGAAATTTCGCGACTCGTTACAACTTGTAATGAATGTTTCACGAGTCGTGAAGGACTTAAAAGTGCAGGAGCCAAGCGGTGAACGTCACGAAATTCGTACAGGTACGACTCGTTAAGTCCGTGAAATTTCACGACTCGTTACAACTTGTAAGGAATGTTTCACGTTAAATCCGTGAAATTTCACGACTCGTGACAACTTGTAAGGAATGTTTCACGAGTCGTGAAGGACTTTAAGACTGCACCCAGCCAAGTGGTCAATTTCACGAAATTCGTACGACTCGTTAAATCCGTGAAATTTCACGGCTCGTTACAACTTGTAAGGAATGTTTCACGAGTCGTGAAGGACTTAAGAGTTCACCCAGCCAAGTGCTGAACCTGACGAAATTCGTACGACTCGTTAAATCCGTGAAATTTCACGACTTGTTACAACTTGTAATGAATGTTTCACGAGTCGTGAAGGACTTAAGAGTGCACGCAGCCAATTACTGACTTGTTACAACTTGTAATGAATGTTTCGCGAGTCGTAAAGGACTTAAGAATGCACCCAGACCAAGTGGTGAACTTCACGAAATTGGTAAGACTCGTTAAATCCGTGAAATTTCACGACTCGTGACAACTTGTAAGGAATGTTTCACGAGTCGTGAAGAACTTAAGAGTGCACCCAGCCAAGTGGTGAACCTGACGAAATTCGTACGACTCTTTAAATCCGTGAAATTTCACGACTCGTTACAACTTGTAAGGAATGTTTCACGAGTGGTGAAGGACTTAAGAAGCTTAAGAGGGGTGAACTTCACGAAATTCGTACGACTCGTTAAATCCGTAAAATTTCACGACTGGTTACAACTTGTAATGAATGTTTCACTAGTGGTGAAGGACTTAAGAAGCTTAAGAGCGGTGAACTTCACGAAATTCGTACGACTCGTTAAATCCGTAAAATTTCACGACCGGTTACAACTTGTAATGAATGTTTCACGAGTGGTGAAGGAATTAAGAGTGCAGGAGCCAAGTGGTGAACTTAACGAAATTCGTACGACTCGTTAAATCCGTGAAATTTCGCGACTCGTTACAACTTGTAATGAATGTTTCACGAGTCGTGAAGGACTTAAAAGTGCAGGAGCCAAGCGGTGAACGTCACGAAATTCGTACAGGTACGACTCGTTAAGTCCGTGAAATTTCACGACTCGTTACAACTTGTAAGGAATGTTTCACGAGTCGTGAAGGACTTAAGAGTTCACCCAGCCAAGTGCTGAACCTGACGAAATTCGTACGACTCGTTAAATCCGTGAAATTTCACGACTTGTTACAACTTGTAATGAATGTTTCACGAGTCGTGAAGGACTTAAGAGTGCACCCAGCCAAGTGCTGACTTGTTACAACTTGTAATGAATGTTTCACGAGTCGTGAAGGACTTAAGAATGCACCCAGACCAAGTGGTGAACTTCACGAAATTGGTAAGACTCGTTAAATCCGTGAAATTTCACGACTCGTTACAACTTGTAAGGAATGTTTCACGAGTCGTGAAGAACTTAAGAGTGCACCCAGCCAAGTGGTGAACCTGACGAAATTCGTACGACTCGTTAAATCCGTGAAATTTCGCGACTCTTTACAACTTGTAATGAATGTTTCACGAGTCGTGAAGGTCTTAAAAGTGCAGGAGCCAAGCGGTGAACGTCACGAAATTCGTACGACTCGTTAAATCCGTGAAATTTCGCGACTCGTTACAACTTGTAATGAATGTTTCACGAGTCGTGAAGGTCTTAAAAGTGCAGGAGCCAAGCGGTGAACGTCACGAAATTCGTACGACTCGTTAAATCCGTGAAATTTCGCGACTCGTTACAACTTGTAATGAATGTTTCACGAGTGGTGAAGGACTTAAGAGTACACCCAGCCAAGTGGTGAACTTCACGAAATTCGTACGACTCGTTAAATCCGTGAAATTTCACGACTCGTTACAACTAGTAAGGAATGTTTCACGAGTCGTGAAGAACTTAAGAGTGCACCCAGCCAACACTGGTGTATGCATGCATATAGTCATAACCCAAATTCCTGGCTTATCGTGTTTTTTACACAATACATGTTGGTTGCATGCATGCTAATATTCTTAACATTTTAAGCTAACATAATCAGTAAATGGCCCATTATGTAATGAAGGACGTCGGTGAAGTTTTATATCGTTTATTTAGGATTTTCTCACCATGCAAGTGTTCAACCGATATATATAAAGGAGCACGTGTTAAATATAAAGATATACATGCAAGCTTCAGTGAGCTAGCAAGTAGCAATGCCAAACTGTATACGCGCAATTGCTCAATGCCAAAGTATACTTTCATACTGGGTTCATTGAAGAACGAGGCATAATGAGAATATATATATTGTGTGCATGATCCATGAATATTCTATACAGAACCGTATAGAATATTCACTGATATGGCTTATTTAGGATTTTATCACCATACAAGTGTTTAACCGATATATAAGGGAGCACTCGTTAAATATAAAGACATACATGCAAGCTTCAGTGAAGCTAAAGCAATGCCAAACTGTATACGCGCAATCGCTCAATGCCAAAGTATACTTCCATAGTGGTTTTTGAAGAACGAGGCATGATCACAATATATAGATATCGTATGATGCATGAATATTCTATACAATCGTATAGAATATTCACTGATATGACTTTATATAAAGATACCAAATTCAATGAAGCAAAAAATGCCGAAGTATAAGTATACTTGTAGACCGCTGCATTTTTGAAAAACAGGCATGAATATATATATATTACGGCAGGGCTTACAGGAAAGGTAAATTCAGAAGATATGATACCCGATACTATTTTTGCCTTTTTACAATTCGTCGGTAAATAT